CCAGGGGGCAGCTCTTGTGCTGAGTGTCTGCACCCTGGTGGTCCTTGAGCGTCACAGTGACAAGTTGTCCCATCGTTCAGTAAATTTGCATATTAGGGTTTTATTATATAGGACTAGAGGCCCAGTGCATGAAATTCGTGCACAGGTAGGATCCCTAGGCCTGGCCAGTGATCAGGGCCAATCAGGTTCCCCGCCTCCTTAGTCCCTCACTCCCTTAGCACCCTCCCGCCTCTGCTGATTGCCCCCATGTTCCACGTCACCCCTGGTGGTCAATGCACATCATAGCAAGCAATTGAATTCCTGGTTTCTCAGTCAAACTCATGAGAAGACAATTTGCATATCAGCCTTTTAGATACAGGATATAGGATAATACTGTGAGCCCAGCCCGTATGGTTCAGTGGTTGCACACAGACCTATGAACCAGGTGATCACAGTTCTGTTCCAGGTTGCAGGCCCATTCCTGGGGTGCAAGCTCAAACCGGCGTGCAGGAGGCAGCCAATCAATGACTCTCATCATTAGTGTTTCTATTTCTCTCTCCCTCTCTGGGGGAAAAAAAAAAATGTTCAAAAAAATATAACACTGTGAAAGACAAACATATATTTGTTAAACTAGTGGTAAGAACTGAAATAAAATATTGTTTAAAATGTAATGTTGCGCATTTAATTAGATCAGGCTTGTGAAATTCTAAAAACCCAAGGCAATCATCTCATTTCTGGGGAGACATGTAATATTCTACATTGTCCAAATATTTTTTAAAAAAAACATGCTATATACACTTTGATTTGGAAATAAGCAAAACAGAGCATTCTGCTTAGGTAGTTATATTCCTTCCTATACCAAGGTACCTTACATTTTTTGGTCTCAGTTTCCCATGTTTGAAATGGGATAACAATACCTATTTCAAACCTTTGTGGTAAGGATTGAGTTAATACATGTAAACTACTTGGAACTGTGCCTGCGACAAAGCAAGCCCCAGTAAGTGCTAGCCATATATAAGCCTGTTTTTTGTTGTGTGCGCTTTTCCCTACTAGGAGGAAACTACAAGCACAGGCTCTAAGACTTCAATGAAAAGAAGAATTTCACACTCTAACTTACTAAGGGCCAATGTTCAAAATTTACTGAAGCCTGAATGCTAAACATCTACATTGCATAGAACTGCCTAAATCTAAGAGGTCAGTTTAGCAAATATGTTCTTTTCCTTACAGTTAAGAGATAGTATATTCCCATGGGCCTGTCAGAGTCTCAGCATCCTCATAATGGCAGGCTTATGGCCAAGATTCCATGCTCTACTGAAAACCCTATGAGAGCAACAGTAAGCTGGACTTAAACGTGGGGATCAATTAAAAAACAAACTTCCCAGAAGTAAGTAACAATCCTTCTCACTGGGAAATGCAATGGAAAATAGGTTCAATAATGATGCCAAACTGAATCAAAAAGTACGGTTCACTGCCCGAAAATAGTACAAAAAGGGTGGAGGGAGAAATCAGCTCTACATTCTCTTTCCTTCATCGTGATTACTCAATAAACAATTTTGCTTGCTTCTTCAATAGGGTTTTCCAAGGATTGTAGATAAAAAAAAAAAAAAAAAGTTTTGTCCCTTTCTGGGCCAGCTTAACGTGGAGCGTCCCATTTAGGAGGTTGCACCGGGTCAGAGAGCCAGCGTCTGACCCAGGCAATCCCTAGTCTAGATCCTAGACCACCATCAGGGATTGTAAAGTGCACTTCCTAAAGCCAAGATCCAAAGATAACCAGAATCAATGCCATTCGCTGATGAACCTGAGAACTTCAGTAGTTATCGCCACTTGCCTTGAACGGGTTTAAGGTGCTATTTTATAACCTCGCCTTCCTACTGTCTACGCATCCATTTAGCTTAACTTTAGGCGTCACGTCTCCAATACATTTTTTTTTTCTCTCTCCCAAAAGATGTTCCCTAGAAAAAGAATCCAATGCCAAAAAAGAGGCCTTGATAGCAGGGTGTCGCTCCCCTCTTTTCAGGAAAATGAATGGCCTGGCCAAAAAAAAGTAAAAGCTTACGCCAAGCTGGGGGGACAACAGGCTGATCCTAGCTTTGCAACTCAACGTGGGAAGCGCCGGGCCCGTACTGCCCGCACCCCGAAGGGCACCCCGCACCTCCCCGGCCTGTGGCAGACCAAGCTCCAGGCCCGCAGCCCCGGCGCCCCGCAGGCTCTCCCCGCGCCGCCGCGCGCTCCCCGGGAACCGCTCACCTTGCTGGGCTCGGGCGTCCTCGAGCAGCAGGAGCAGGACGAGCAGGAGCAGGAGGAGCGGAGGCATAGGGGAGGAGGCGGCGCCGGGCCGGGGAGGGCGCGGGCCGGAGCGGGAGCGGGGGAGCGCGGCCCCTGCGGGGGCGGCGGCCGCGGCCCGGACTCGGGGCCGGTCAGGGCTGCGCTCTGCGCTCACCGCCGCCCGGCTCGCCATCGCGGCGGCCGGCAGTCCGCCTGCATAGTGCGGGCGCCCCGGGAGCCCCGCGCGCCCGGGGGCCGCGGCGCCCGGCGAGGAGGGAGGCGGCGGCAGCGGCTGCGGAGCGAGAACAAGAAGCCGCGCGCGCCTGGCGCCTCGCTCCGCGCCGGGACCCCCTCCGCCCCTCACTCACTCCGCTTTCGCTTCCTCGAAGGTCCTTTCCCTCCGTGCCCCCCGCCCGAGACCCCGGGCCGGGATGCAGGGGAGGGAGAGGAGAGGAGGAAGCGAGTGCTCGAGGCGCGGAGGACAGCAGCGACGGGGCCGGGCGGCGAGCCTCCCGCACCGCGTTCCTCAACCCTGCGCCCTGCTCGCCGCGCTCTCCCGCCGCTCCGGCTGGCTGGCAGGCAGGCAGGCGGGCCACCGAGCCCTCGCGCTCCCTCCGGCGCGCTCTGGACACGCCTCCTAGGTCGCCACGGCCAATCCGCCGTTAGCTCTGGTCCGTCTCCCTCCCGCGCCACCCAATCAACGCGCTCTCCCCTCAGTTGACCAGTCAGCTCCGCTATCCACTCCTCGAGCTCCACCGCCTCGCATCTCTCTCCTCCAATCCCCTGAGGCCTTGGGAAGCGTCCCACCCGCCTCCCCCGATCTGGGCTCCGCCCCCAAGCTCCGGTCCCGGCGGCCCCCGCCAGACCCTGAGATTTGTTATTGTTGGGACCTCAGCCCCAGCAGATCCCTCTGGGGTGGCCGTCTGCTCTGGTCAATGACTTCCGGGACTTCCCCCAGCCCGCTCTCCTGGCTCCTCGGGCTGTGCCTGCTCTTTGCTCCTCCCTCGCCGCACATCAGGCCACTGGAAGGGGTGGGAAACCTGGATTCTGGATGGCTTTAGCTGGGAGCTGAGTCTAAAGATCTATCTTCCCTCCTTCCTTCCTACCTTCCTTCCTTCCTTCTTTCCTCCCTCCCTTTCTCCCTCCCTCCCTCTTTCTGACTTTCCATTTATTTCTTTTATAAAAAACAGAGCGACTTTTTTTTTTTTTTTTTTTTATTAAATAGAAGCTACTGCCAATTGTTGGGACCACTCCCAGGAACAATAATAGATGAATGCACCCTGTTTTCAATGCCTTTTACTATATTATATTAGGGAGAAAACAAAAAACAAACAAAGGATATAGCAAGATTTATGCCGCCCAAGTAATTTAAACCTAGCATGCTGACAATCATTCAGCCCTTCTAGAGTTGAGCACCTGCAAAACCTGTGTTATGCCTTGTAGGAGTTGCAGCCTATGACAGACAAATTCCAGGATCTGGTGTTGGGACAGAGATGGAAATACATCGTGAAAGTCAGAATGAAATAAGTGCTAATTACAGTCACACACAATTTGATGGAGACTGGCAGAATAGAGTCACAAAAAGAACTGGGTTTGGGAAAAGCTGAATCCACCCGACTTTGAAGGGACTGGTTTTTAGAGAGAAGTGCCACCCTGGATGTTTTCCACATGGGCTCTAAGGAGTCTGGTGTCATTAATAAATATAGAAAACTGGAAAAGTGGAGATGGTTGTGTGGAGAAATGAGTTAATTTTGGACATAGTGAATTTGAGATGTCCTGTCCACTGATGCGAAGCTATGCAATCAGGTGGACATGTTGGTCTAAAGCTTAGGAAGAGGAATGAGGGAAACTCATGAATAGATGTAATAATCAAAACTATGGAAGAGACTGATATCCTCAAAATCTGAAAATTGTAAAGGACTTTCGAGGCCATCTTTTTCAACTCACTGCAAGTCCCTCATGTATTAAACCTTACTATCAAATTTATTTAAAAAGTATTTATTGGAGCCCCACCAGAGTGGCTCAGTGCTTGAGTGTCTACCTATGAACCAGGAGGTCACAGTTTGATTCTGGTCAGGGCACATGCCAGGGTTATGGACTCAACTCCCAATGGGGGGTGTGCAGGAGGCAGCTGATTGATCAATGATTCTCTTTAGTCATGTCTGTTTCTCCCTCTCCCTCTCCCTCTCCCTCTCCCTCTCCCTCTCCCTCTCCCTCTCCCTCTCCCTCTCCCTCTCCCTCTCCCTCTCCCTTTCCCTCTCCTTCTCCCTCTCCCTCTCCCTCTCCTTCTCTCTCTGAAATCAAATATATATATGAGCATTTTTTGGATGCCTACTAAATCCTACTATGCTTTAGGCCTAATGTAGGTAGTGGGCATACAAAGTTCAATCAGAGGAGCCTACATTCTGAGAGGGAGGTGACCATTTAAATAAATCCATCCGTAATCAGCTGCATGTTGGAGATAAGGGCTGATGCCACAAAACCACATTGGAAGGATTTTAAGAAGTCCATTATGGTAAGTATAAAATTCCAGCTGTAGCAAATAAGATGGCAAAGTAAGGAGGTGATCTCAGGCCAAAGGCAAAGGAAGCTCGATTACAGGTGAATTTGCTGGAGCTGCGTCTGCTAGGACTTGCAGCAGTCGCCATAGTCAGCTCTGTTCCTTGGCTGGTAAATGAATTAATGCTTCAGATGAAGGCTCTGGGGAAGATTAGAGCTTCAGGAAAGGAACATGTGAGTCGTATTTTATATATATATAAAATACCAGGAAATTAAACTGTGTATCACTTTAATGCATTTGTTAACTCCATGATAAATATAAATACAGGTTCTCAATCTAAATTTCATTTCCACTTTCTGTGTGTTCCTTTTTCCTCATTTTCTTTCTTCATAGATAAAGAGTGAAGGGTTAGAGAAATTGGAATTGATCTGTAAAGAAAAGGAGAAATATGAAAAGAATATTTACATCCCATTATTTCTGCTTCTAAATGAATCTCAGCTCAGCCGCCACTAAGAAAATGAGAATAGAGGAGAAGACCCTGTGGCCTTTGCTTCATACAGAAGCATCTGAGTTTTAATGGTAAGATACGGTAAAATTCATTGGCACTATCGTTGCTGTTAAATGTCGGTTAAACATTAATAAAACAGAAGAGGCTCATTTAAGATGGAATTTATACTGGAAACCTTGGGATGATGGTGTGTAATGAATCATTGGTGGGCTTTATCAGTGAGTGTATATTTTGACAGGATAAAAAAATGAGGGAACAAATGATAATTTACTTTAGTGATCTACTGGGGTGGGAGAAAAAGAAGAATGTGGCATATCTGGGGAAATATTTCCAACTTCAAAGCCCAGGACTCTGAAATCTGGTTCTTGTTCTCCCAGGAGCATTTTCTCTGTCCTGTTGACTGTTTGGACAAATGTTTACAGCCAAGTTTGTTGCTAAATGTCTGAATTCTCCTGGGGAGGCTTTCTTCCTTTCTGTGAACATTTTCTGGATACATCTGCTGTTTATCTTATAAACTTGTTTCAGTTAGTAATTTCAGTCAAATCCAGCCCTCAGGTTTATTACTCATATTTTCTTAACATTTATAAACAATTTCTTTAGGTTCTGTTATAGCAAATTTAAGACGTATGTGTTGGGAACCTAATTTATTTTCGAAGACATTTCATTTCTACTAGTGGATAGTGAAAATTACGTACATTTTCTTGGCGTATTTCAACTACAGGACTGACATTGGTAATTTTCCATTTGCCTTCTACAGCATCTTTCTTTTTCTCTTTCTTCCTCTCCTCCCTCCCCTTGTTTTTCTTTAGGAACATAATAAAATAAAGTTTAAGTAATTCACTTGTCAGAACAAGAAGGCTTCAGCTTGGTATTTTATCTCTGATGGTGGCTGCAAGAGATTTGAGTGAAAGCATAAAAACTGCCCTCCATAACATAAACATCATGCCAAGCCATTAGAAAATTAATTATACATGAGAACTAAAAAATGAATAATAAACATACCAGAGTATCTGAGATAATGTTATTTAGGTGTGCAATGGCTGTGTGCTTCTCCTGCTGTTCTTTCCTGTGGGACCTATGCTGGCAGCACAATCAGGAATTAAATATACAGCGCTGAGATGCTGTTTGGCTTCTGAGAAATTCAGTTGTTGTTTCATGAGATCATGGAAACAGCCCCGGATCAGACTCTTGTATCCAACTCCCACTTGGAAGTGCTGTATAACCAATTGCAAGTCTCGTAGGCCTTGGTTTGTCTACAACTGAAGATGGTTGGATCTTGTTATAGATTTTGAGTTTTGACAATTCTTCCAAATTTTCACCGTCCACTGCTCCCTTTCATCTCACAGTCAAATTATAAGTCCTTGATGCCTAAACTGCAACCTAATGGAGAGAGAAGACAAAAAAGCTGTGACTACAGGTTTCCTCTCTGGGAGAACATTGTGCTGGACAGAAGTGCACCTTGAAGAGTGTGCTTCACATCCCGTACCCCCATAATTGTCTTTATGAATTGGAGTGAGATGAAGAGCCCAGTTCTGTTTTGTGAAAGAAGTAAACAGAGCCTTGGAGTAGGAAGGTAACATTATCAGGAAGGAGATGTGGGAGGTCAGAGAAGATGAGCTGGCCAGCACAGTGGCTGGAACAGTGGAGAGGTGAGGAAGAGTGAAAATTCCCCAGTGACTGAAATGCAAAGACGCTGTCTAGATAAGATAGCTAATAAATAAATTCTGTTTGCTGTATAGGCTATACTGTAACCTTCCTCTGCCTTCCTTCCAAACTCTCCATTAAGTTTACCATGTCACAGGCTTGATCCAGTGAAACTTTGGGGAAGAAGGAACATGCAAGTGGGGAGGGACAATCAGGTGGGTGTCCAGCTTTATTTTTATTGATTTCAGAGAGGAAGAGGGAGAGAGAGAGAGAGAGAGAGAGAGAGAGAGAGAGAGAGAGAGAGAGAGAGAAAGAAACATCAAAACATCAATGATAAGTAAGAATCATTGATCAGCTGCCTCCTGCACACCCCACACTGGGGATGGAGTCTGCAACCAAGGCATGTACCCTGACCAGAATCAAACCATTACCCTCTGGTTCATAGATCCATGCTCAACTGCAGAATCATACCAGCCAAGCAGTATCCACTTTCCTGATTCTACATGGAAAGGGCAGCATCCTGAGGAAGGGATATGAAAACAGACATCAAACACTCTAGAGAGAGTAGGAGACTCCTGACTCCTGAACCAGAGGTTTGAAATATGTAAACTGCCATGCAACTCCCCATCCTCTTGACAAGAAACTAGGTTTTTATCCCGGGGTTTGGAGTCATTTAGGCAACTCCCATCTATTAAGCAAGGACAAGTAAAAAACAGTTCCACTTTTTATTTTCCAAGAACCAAGAGAAAAGAAATAGAAGGTGAGGTTTTTTAAAATGTGCAGATCACATTTTTCAATGATTCCTTTTGAATCATTTAATTAAATGTTAATTTAGAGCCTTTAAATTTAATAAATCAATAAAATGGAAACTAATATTTTAAATAATAGCAAGGCTTTGAAAATTCAGAAATTTTAAAAGAATACCTAAGGTTAAAAAAAACACACACAAAAAAACAAAGAAGAATATCATCTCCTTGATATTACAGTCATAGACTAGCTAATATTAGCCTGCCTTTTAACATAATAAGATGTAAATGAGATGCAGAATATATTATACATTTAGTTAAACAAACTCTTTTATTTTTGACACTCTATTAACCATGGCTTGTGAAACAACAGATTGTGGGCCAAAAGGAAATAATGTGTTGTTCAGATTAATCTGACTTTCCATGAGCTTCTGCATTAATAATCAGGTTTTAATGTCAATATAAATAATACTTTACATTTGACTGACATATGCTATAATTTTGTTCATAGTTAACATACTGCACAAAAGTGAAAATGTGAGAGGTGTTTTTTATTTAAAGGATTTATTGCAGACCAAGATAGCTCCTAGGAAAAAAAATAAAGGAGAATATTATTTTCCTGATCCCACTTTTTCTTTAATCTTAAAAGACATGCCTCGTGCTCCTAGAATTTTGAATAAATAGGACAATTTTGTCATCACATATCTAACATTATTGGTGATCTCTATAAATCAATGCTTAGTTTTCATCTGTAGATCTGAAGATATGTCCATTCATTTTTTGTGATTATATTTAGTTAATTTGATACTTCTAACTTGACTAAAATATAGTGTGAGAGAAGTCCTTGATAAAAGATATAAACTATTGAGTCAAAAAATTCACGAATTTCCTGTTTATTTGAGACTCATTTGGAAGACACCCAGATATTAGCCCCATCTAATGACAAAATTTAATGATTTAAAACAGTAAAAGTGGTTTTATTTCCTCCAAAATCAATTACCAGACATAAAGTAACTCAGGATTCACTTTAGTCTTTCTGTCATTTGCTATTATTCTTTTATTGACAAACCACCAATACAAAGGCAGTATTTCATTATCACAGCATAAATATAGCCATTCGACTCTAGATATTGTTAGTTGAATACACATGCAATTAATTAAATCAACTGCAAAATGATACACACCAAAGAGCCATGCTGAATCAACCCCTAGATTTTAATAATAACTACAACAGTGTGTATAAGAACATTGAAATTCTCTTCAAGTGAACAAACATACAGCCATTCATTCATATTTATGGCAGCCATCCATTTAAAGGAATTAATAGTTATGCATGGGCCAAAACAAAGTTTTTTAGCACCATCTGTACCTTAATTGAAAACAAAATGAAACAAGCCATGTTTGAAGATATGCTAAACTATTATACTCAAACCACATTTGTAATTATATTCTTGCTTCTAAAGGCTATTTCCCAACTTTATATCTGTATATTCTATATGGAGATAATTTAAGTTGTTCTTGACCTACCAATATTTTTTCACAGTCCTGGCATTATTTTCATAATTGTGGGACTCATTCCATTTTATCATGTTAAATGACCCCCATCTTAATTTTCCCAACCCAAATGGTACATGAGGTACCTAACATTTGTAAAAGAATTAGTAGCTGCTAAATAGCTTTCTTTAAAAATTGTCTTCATGGCCTTAATGTAGATAAGAAATGATAAGAAAACCGTATTTAGGAGAAGACAATATGAATTGTTTCTGAAAATACATTGAGACTGTAAAATGTCCTTTGGGAAAAATTTTCAAAGAGGCTCAGAAATCTACATCTTACCCCAAAAATGCTATCCCTCCCCCCACAATCCGGTTTTCAAATTGAATTAAAAACAAACTGCATAAAAATTGTGACACATAATTTTTTGGACTAGGGAATAAAATGAGTTACTCTACTTAGATGGGAAGTACCAACAGAATCTCCAGATGGGGCTTGAGAAGTTCCGAGAGCCCCTTATGGAAACCTGTGACCTTTCAGTAATGGAAAAATGTTGAGAACCATTGAGTTAGAAGATTTCATTCTGATGATTAAACTGTATGTCTTTGGCTTTTTCAGATTTATATTTTTAAAATCCTTACGTATCTGTTTCTGCCAAGTCTATACCCACCCTAAGCTCTTTATCTTCCATATTCTCTTTCGTTTGCTCTAAGAGTCTAAATGAAGCACTTTGATCTATTACTGGAATGTCGTTGACCTAGTGCCCTCTCTGTCACAATGTTGATTCACAGCCACAAGGAGCAATGGGCAGCAAGCCAGGCCGCAGATAGTGTCTAAACCCTGGGAACAGGTCAAATGTGGCGCTTGCTTAATGGGCTCCTCTGTCTTCAGCAAGCAGACCGCCTGCCACCGAGGGTACAGCTTTCTCGCTGTAGGAATTAGTTGCACACAATTTCCTGTCACCAAGATTCCTCAGAAGGCTGTTTGTGACCGGCATGAGGTGTTTTTCTCTCACAACTGAAGAAACATGGGCTCTAACGCTGGGTCACCTCCCATGCTTAGGGACCTGGCCCGAAGAGAAAGGGCAGGGAATTCATGTTTAGTGAGCACCCGCCTCTGCTGGGCATTGTGCATATGTCAATTTTGATGTCTCATGGCATCTCAGTCAGGTAAGTATAATTACTCACACTGGTTCACTGATTCGCCAGAACTCAGCTAGGTTGAGATTCCAGGCCTGTCTAATGTGAGAGCTTGTGTTTTCTCCACTTGACCACACTGCCTTCTCAGTGTTATTCTAGGAATTTTGCTTACATTACTCACTGACCTGGATTTTTTCCAAAGTCTGCTACCAGCAGGTAACAAGTACCTAATAAAGTGCATTAGTTTATTGTCATAAAATTTTTATTTGCTACAAATGGCTAGTTTGAAAACTATACTAGCAAATGTCCATTTTATTTTTTGCATTTTCTGAAATTTCATTAAAAAAATTCAAGCCTTGAATATTTTTTAAAAGGTTACAACTTTTATTGAATTTTAGAGAGGGAGGAAGAGAGAGAAAGAGAGAGAGAAACATCCATCTGTTGCCTACAATACATATCTTGATGGGGATCAAATTCATAACCTTGGCATGTACTCCGACCAGGAACTGAACCTGCAACCTTCCATTACACAGAAGGTGTTTCAACCAATCGAGCCACATGCTCAGGTTTTAGAGTTGTATAGGATCAAATTTAGTGTTCAGAGAATGTATTGTTATTCCTCATCTTTGTCTAATGTAGTTAGAGAATCTGAGAGATTAATTTCCAATTAAAAATATGTGGATTCCAGATGTTAGCTATTGAAAATTGCGCTATGAACATAGGGGTCCATATATTCTTTCTGATTGGTGTTTCAGGTTTCTTAGGATATATTTCTAGAAATCCTAGGGATCATTGGGTCAAATGGCAGTTCAATTTTTCATTGTTTGAGCAAACTCCAAATTGTTTTTCCATAGTCACTGCACAGTCTGCATTACCAACAGCAGTGTACTAGTGTTCCTATTTCTCCACATCCTCGCCAGCACTTGTCACTTTTTGATTTGTTGATGATAGCAATTCTAACAGGTATGAGGTGATACCTCATTATTATTTTACTTTGCATCTCTCTGATGATTAGTGACTTTGATTAGCTAAGATCTGGAGATAGCCCAAGTGCCCATCAGTAGATGAGTGGATAAAGAAGCTATGGTACATTTACACCATGGCATACTATGCAGTAGTAAAAATGAGATCTCTGCCAAAACTGGTTGGCTCAGTGGATAGAGCATCGGCCTACAGACTGAAGGGTCCTGGGTTTGATTCCAGTCAAGGACATGTACCTTGGTTGCAGGCATATCCCTAGTAGGGGGTATGCAGGAGGCAGCTGATCAATGTTTCTCTCTCATCAGTATTTCTAGCTTTCTATCCCTCTCTCTTCCTCTTTGTAAAAACTCAATAAAATCTATTTTTTTTTTAAGAGAGAGATCTCTTACCCTTCGAGATAGCTGGAGGAACCTGGAGAGTATTAGGCTAAGAGAAAGACAAGTATCACAAGATCTCACTCATATCTGGAATCTAATGAACAAAATAAACTGATGAAAAAAATAGATCCAGAGACATAGAAGCATGGAACAGACTGGCAAATCTCAGAGAGAAGTGGGGGTTGGGAGTGGGTGGGAAGAAATTAACTGGGGAACTTATATGCATATATGCATAGCCCATGGACACAGACAGCAGTGTGATGAAGGCCTGCAAGGGGCGTGTGGGGGGTGGAGGGGATCAATGGGGGAAAAAAGAAGCATCTGTAATACTTTCAACAATAAAAACAAATAAAAAATAAATAAAATAAAATATATTCCCTCCTCCCTTCCTGAAAAAATGTTGTTAAAATTATTTAGAAGAATTAAGAAAGTATGTACCAATAATGACAAGGGCTAGAGTTTTCTAAATTGAGACAAAAGAGCTGGAATTTAAGAATCAGAACTGAAGATGGAATTGGAGGATACAAATAATTGACTACTTATATATTGAACTCTAGTATTCTAGTGCCCTTTTATCATCCAGCTTTCACAATTCCAAAAACCAGGTCACATTGGATATCTAAAAAATAGATATGTTCTGAAACTTCATGTTCTGAAACTTCACTGAGATTCTGTAACATTCTGCCACCCACTACTTCTCATGCTGCTTAAATTTTGGCTTGGACATGCTCTGAGTCACAGTGTGCCAGGCTTGGTCAGCGGACACTTTCATCCCATAACCCTG